AATGAGCTGAGCAGGAGAGCTGACCTCTTGCTGGCTCTCCTTATAAAGCCTCAGAACCACGCCCATGACTCCATGAATGGATCAACCCATTCACAAGGGCACAGCCCTCACAATTGAATCTCCTCTCAAATGCCCCACCTTTCTTTTTTTTTTTTTTTTTTAAAATGATGACCGGTAAGGGGATCTCAACCCTTGGCTTGGTGTTGTCAGCACCACGCTCAGCCAGTGAGCAAACCGGCCATCCCTATATAGGATCCGATCCCGTGGCCTTGGTGTTATCAGCACCGCACTCTACCGAGTGAGCCACGGGCCGGCCTGAATGCCCCACCTTTCAAATGCCATAATCTGATTCCCCAGCCACCTTTTTCTTTTTCAAGTTAAAACCAGCCTTTTATTCTGAATATTCTCTAAAAGAAATGCAAAACAACCCCCTGCTCCCAGACAAGTCCTCAGGTCCCCATCAGGCTCACTAGAAAGTGAATCTACAAAGAGGTCCTGTGTCCCTTCTGTTCTGTCCTGAGAACATAGAGGGGAATCTGTGGGTTCGATTAGGCTCTGGAGCCACCAGGTCAAAGCACATCAAAGATTTTGGTGTTGAGAAGCAGCTCTGGGTGCTGTGCTCCATGTCCCGTGGTCTTGGAGTCGTGTGAGGGCAAAGCTGGCGTCTGCTGACCAGGGTCTCCAGTGGTCTGTGGGGGGTTTGGTGCCGAGGGAGCATGAGGACCCCCAGGTGCATTTGTTCCAGTCCCTCCCTTACAGCCACTCAAGCAGGGAAAGTTGCTGGAGGAGCCCAGTGTCCTGCCCCAGAGGGAGCCCAGGGAGAAGAGTGGTGAGGGTGGCAGCTCTGCCTGAGGAGGAGAGGAGAGCATGCTGAGGGCCCAGGACTTCCGAGGGGAAGGAGCAGCTTTTGGCCACACCATCTCAGGAGCAGGGCCCATGAAACACTTTCCCCAATCCTGGCATGGCCCTGTAAGGTCAAGTGACCCCCCAAATCCCACACCCCCAGATCTTGGCAAGAAGCTGTCTCATGAGCCAGGATTGAGGCTCGGGGTGGGGGAGGGTCCCTTTCCTCACCTGGGGAAGCCTTTCCCACAGCTCTGGCAGATGTAGGGCTCTCCCACGGACCCATCATGGGACAGCACATGGTAGGACATGTGGTCTTTTCTTTTGAACTGCTGCCCACACTCAGGGCAGGGTAGGGCTTCTCAGAGTGGGACAGCTTGTGCCAGTTGAGATGGTACACATCATGAAAGATCTTGCCGCAGATCTCACAAACCACTTGCTTCCTGGTCTGGCTCCTCTTTCAGGGGCCGTGGGGTCCTCAGAGATGGGTAGTCAATTCTTACCCAGCCTTGGAGGAGGAAGGTCGATGTAGCCCAGCTGGTGGCTGGTGACATCGTGCTGGGCCAGATAGCAAAGTGAATACCTTCCCACTCAGGCCACACGGAAGGACATCTGCCTCCCTCAGGCCCCTGGGAACTCAAACATTGAGTCCACCAGGCTGGCCCTCCTTAGCATGTTACAGTGGGGATTGAGTTTCCAGTACATGAACTTTTGGGGGACACATTTAACTCATAGCAGCACCCCAATGTCTTTTTCATAAAGTCCCCTATTTCTAGACTAGGTCTGATCACCCCTCAGCCGTGCCTGGTGTCCCCAAATCAGGAGCTGCTGTGGTCCACTTTTCCCGGGGAATAAACCTCTGCAGGCCTGTGGAGTGGTGGCCAGGAGGTCCCGGTGGTCCTATAGCTCTGCTCTGCGACAGTTTCCATCCACCCTGCCCTTGCCAGCCAGTGTCAGCATCCAGGCCTCTCCCGGGCTGTGTGGCTTGAACCCTCATCTCTAGCCGGCACCCCCTCTGCGGGCGCCTGAGGCAGCTTTCCCAGTGCCAGACTGGTCCTCACTCCGCCGGCTGCTTCCTCTCTTGCAGGCTGACCAACGTCACTTCAGCTCCTCTATTCTTGTCTTTTTAATTTTTTGCGTTATTTGAGTAGGAGTTTGAGAGAATAGCAGAAAGCCTGTGTGCTCTGTCTGCCATGTTTAACTGGAATTTCTGTTCCTCGTGTAAGTTTTAAAAAGTACTATCACGATACTTGTTCTTTGAAAGAATAATTATAAAACACTAGTAAAGAAAAAAAGGATAAAACCTTCGTCCTTCCGCCCAGGGAGTCAGCTTCTAGCTCAGGCTGCTCCATGTGTGTGGACAGATCGGCTCATCCCCGTGCTCCTGAAGGTTTCTTCAAGGAGCAGCCTGTGCTTTCTCTGTCTCTTCAACCTCGGTTTTCTCCTCACCCCCGTGGGGTTTGGCTCCCCCTCCACCCTGGCACATCTTGTCTGCTTGCTTACAGATCTGGGACATGCAGGGCCTCCCAGGGTGGCCTTTGATGCTGTGGGCCTGGCTCTCTGCGGTCCCCCTGCCTCGAGCAGCATGTGCTGTCCACTGTGCTGAGCACTTGTCCAATCCTTACAGCAGTCCCACGAGGCAGGCACTGGATCCCTCACTTCATAGACGAGGACACTGAAGGCCAGAGAGGCCAGCTAGTGAGGGGACAAGCCCAGACATGGCCCAGCCCCCTGTTCCCTGCTCTCAGGCCCCTGCTCTGCACAAACCCTGCCTGTGGTGCCCTTGTGTACTGACCACAGCCAGGCCACTCTCCCAACCCAGGCCTGCTGGTTTAGCTCCCTGCTGCTGGGCTGCTCTGTGACCTGTGGGCCCTCATGCTCAGCCTGCCCGCAGGCTCTGCGTTCTCCTGCCCAGGATGGTGAAGAACACACCCACAGTAGCTGAGGTCCTTCCGTCTTTCGTGCAGAATTTCTCAAACCCTCTAACCAATCACAGTGACCACCCTGGCATGGGCCCCCTTTGTGCCTGGCACCTGCCACATGTTGGCAGAAGGAAGGTCATGGCAGCTGACCTTGACTGAGGGCTTCCTGTGTACCCAGTGCTGCTCTGCTTCATGCACGGTAGCCCCTGCTGTCCTCACAAAAGCCTTATTGGGTAGGTAGGTACCCTCACCTCTGTGCTCAGACAAGAAAACCCAGACACGGAGAGGTCAGGTAACTTGCCCAACATAGGACAGCCCTGTTCCAGGGCAGGTAGTCCCACAGGACACTGCCACTGGGTTCCTGCCTATGGGTCCCTGGGCACCCTTGCCAGTGCTCCCAGATGCACCAGATGCAGGATTGAGCACCAGCCCTTGTTACCAACACTGCCGTCGACGTCTCTGTCCTGGACTGCTGGCCAGGTATCCTTGTCCTGGGACGACTGCCGCCACCCAGCCCACGTCTGCCATATGCCAAACAGGGAGCACAGTGATGCCATTATGGGATTACTCATAACGGGCTCAGGATTGTTTTGTATCTGGTCGTTTGTTTGTTTGTTTGTTTAAAAGATGACCAGTAAGGGGATCCTAACACTTGGCTTGGTGTTGTCAGCACCACGCTCTCCCAAGTGAGCCACGGGCTGGCCCTATATAGGGATCCGAACCCGTGGCCTTGGTGTTATGAACACCATACTCTCCCAAGTGAGCCATGGGCCGGCCCTGTATCTGGTCATTTTTATCAAATGAAAAGTACACTATTCAGAAATTTTGATGTTCCTTTATGATAAATCACCTGTGTATTGCCTCACAACTGATGCTGCGTTGTAAGCTGCTGATGTGGCATTTCTCGAGTCCAGGGACAGGGTGGGCCTGTGTTGTTGATATGAGGGGACAGAGGCCTGGAGAGGAGAGGAAAGGCCAGTGTCCGATGGGAGCGGGAGGTGGCTCGGCCTAACTGAAACTGTGCGGCTGGACAGGAGGCGAGTGGCCTGGAGCGAGGAGAAGCTGGAAACTAAGAATGGCGAAGTGGGCAGCGGAGTTGAGTGGGAAATGGGGGACCAGAGTTTGGGGCGGGAGGAGTCTGTAGAGGGAGATGGGGGACCAGAGTGTGGGGCACGAGGAGTCTGCAGAGGGAGACGGGGGACCAGAGTGTGGGGCAGGAAGGGTCCGCAGAGGGAGACGGGGGACCAGAGTGTGGGGCAGGAGGGGTCCGCAGAGGGAGACGGGGGACCAGAGTGTGGGGCAGGAGGAATCCGCAGAGGGAGACGGGAGACCAGAGTGTGGGGCAGGAGGGGTCCGCAGAGGGAGACGGGGGAGCAGAGTGTGGGGCAGGAGGGGTCCGCAGAGGGAGACGGGGGAGCAGAGTGTGGGGCAGGAGGGGTCCGCAGAGGGAGACGGGGGAGCAGAGTGTGGGGCAGGAGGGGTCCGCAGAGGGAGACGGGGGAGCAGAGTGTGGGGCAGGAGGGGTCCGCAGAGGGAGACGGGGGAGCAGAGTGTGGGGCAGGAGGGGTCCGCAGAGGGAGACGGGGGAGCAGAGTGTGGGGCAGGAGGGGTCCGCAGAGGGAGACGGGGGAGCAGAGTGTGGGGCAGGAGGGGTCCGCAGAGGGAGACGGGGGAGCAGAGTGTGGGGCAGGAGGGGTCCGCAGAGGGAGACGGGGGAGCAGAGTGTGGGGCAGGAGGGGTCCGCAGAGGGAGACGGGGGACCAGAGTGTGGGGCATGAGGGGTCTGCAGAAGGAGATGGGGGACCAGAGTGTGGGGCAGGAGGGGTCTGCAGAGGGAGATGGGGGAGCTGAGTGTGGGGCACGAGGAGTCCGCAGAGGGAGACGGGGGACCAGAGTGTGGGGCACGAGGGGTCCGCAGAGGGAGACGGGGGACCAGAGTGTGGGGCACGAGGGGTCTGCAGAGGGAGATGGGGGAGCTGAGTGTGGGGCATGAGGAGTCCGCAGAGGGAGACGGGGGACCAGAGTGTGGGGCATGAGGGGTCTGCCGAAAGCCTTTTAAAAACTTTGAGCTCCCCGTAGTCAGAAATACCATTTGGTCACAGAATAATTACATTTTTTCTTCTCTGAGGTCTTACCTCATAGGTCTGCTTCTTAAGTAGCAGGTTATTGAAGCAGCTTCCTGAGAATTGGAGAAGTCTAATTTCACCTCCAGTTGCTTGGACTGTGCCCTTTTAGATATCCAAACACAGCCTGTGAGCTTCTGACTTGTGATGTGCCGCAGATCAGTGATAGACTAGGCGGGGACGAGAGCCTGCTCAGCCTGCTGTACGACTTCTTGGACCACGAGCCGCCCCTCAATCCTCTGCTCGCCAGTTTCTTCAGCAAGACCATTGGCAATCTCATTGCAAGAAAAACCGAACAGGTAAAAACTGAGCAGGGCCCGTGTAGCTTTGGGCGCTGTCACGGCAGATGCTGGCATGTCCTGCTGTCAGCCCTTGCTGTGCAAGTCATCATGGGGTGGGAGCAGCATTGACTGCTGTGAGGGACACGTGGAGCAGTGTGGGCTGCTGAGACGTGAATTGGAATTTGAATAAGAAAGTGGCTTCTCAAGGAGTGTTTCTGATGGCCATTTCTGGAGTAAGCAGCTTCCCGCCATCCCTGGAGCCGCTCAGGACCCCAAAGTAGGCCAGCTCATCCCATTCCTAGCCAGGCACAAGCATGAGGTCCTGGGACGTGCCCTCCCTATGGCTGGGCCTCAGACATCCGCCTTCGGAGGCCTGCTGCTTCATCTGTGTGGGTGGCGTGTGCCATCTGCCCAGGGCACTTACTGTTTCAAAAGATTTTCAAGAATGAAAGATTACTTCTAGCACGAGGCTTCCACACAAGTAGTGAGTGAGCTCTCACCCAGCTGCTGCACAGGGTTTCTGGAGCCCATTGTGCTCCTGCTCCTGCTTCACATTTGACCTGACGCAGCTTCAGTGCCTCTGCACTGTGGGTACACACTGGTGCAGGTAAGTGTCGGTGCCTGTGCCTGCGCCCGGCCTGAGCACCATGCACCCAGACTCCTCTCCTCTGTTACGCCAGCCCACCCATCCCTACTGGATCATTTCAGAACAAATCCCAGACATCAGATCATTTCTTCTGTAAATGTTTCAGTATATATCTCTAAAGTCTTATGACTTTTTTCTTTTAAATATAACTAGAGTTACCTTATCACACCCCCAAAATGTTAACTCTAATTGTTTAATACCATCAAATGTCCAGTCAGGGAGCAAACCAAGTATTTTGTGTCTGTATCCTGATCTCTGAGAAGGGGCAGCCCCAAGGCGGGTCATTGTTTCACTTGAGGAAATTCCGCTGGCATGTCACGATTGTTCAGTGGAAATTCATCTTTCATAACACCGTACATCTGGGATTTGCAAGGGACCCAGAGGATGGTCTCACCTCAGATCTTTGTTTGAAGTGGAATATAAGTGAAGGGTACCAGCAGCAGCAGTGGGGGGCAGCGGCTGCAGGATGGGGTGTGGGTGGCGACCACCATGTGGTAGTCGCATGGTGTGGCACGGGGGTGGTCGTCGTAGCTGTGGGATGGTGGCAGAAGCCATGACGACCTTCTGTGTCTGGCCCTTGCAGCCCAGTGACTGGATCCACGTCTCTCATGATTTACTGTAGCCTGATCATACTCCTCGCCACTTTAAGATTAAAAAAAAAAAAATGTACTGCCTGATATAATATTCCCTCTCTTTCCCTTACCTAGTGTTTAATGCCTTAAAGTAATATGAACTGAACCCTTAAAAATATTTCTTTTAATGACAAATGTGTAACACATTTATATGAAATTCAAACAAGACAGAAATATATAAAACAGTGTCCTATAATACTCTCTAGAGATAACTACTGTTGGCTTAGTGCATATTCCTAATAAATTTTTCTAGTGACCCACTAACATATGCTTATTTATTTTCACACAATGTGTCATCCTCTGAATACTGCAGCTTGCTTTTTTCACTTAGAAGTAGATCTGTACATCCTTCCCTATAGAGCTACCTTGTTCTTTTTAGCAGACATACGTACCAGGGCATTGTATCAGTGACCCAGGAGTTCACTTGTCTCCAGGGCGGGTTGTGGCCGGAGGGTCCGTGGTGAGCCTTTCTCCTGGGTCTCCTGAAATGCTGTGAGTGGCTCTGAAGTGGGGCTGTCAAAGAAAGGATGGACGGCATTTTCTTAGCTCTTCATTATGGATTCTTTCAAATATCTATAAATTAGAGAAAATGGTTTATGAACTCCCATGTCTCTGTGACCTGGCTTCCACATTATCTGTTCATGACCAGTCTTATTTCTTCCACACCCCCTTATTTCCAACCCCCACCCCAGATTATTTTGAAGCAAAACCCAGACAGTGTATCATTTTATATATAAATATTTTAGTATGTGTTTCTAAAGGATAAGGACTCTCTTATAAGCATAGCCACAATACCATTATCCCACCTAAAACATTAATGACAATTTCTGAATTTCATCAAATATGCATGAAATGTTCAAATTGCTCTGCTGATCTCATACAATGTTTTTCAAAGTTGGTTTGTTTGACTCGAGATCCATTTTGCCGTTTACATCCGTGTGGCGCGGTCTAGCATGCGGCTTAGCAAACTTTTTCTGTAAAGGGCCAAATAGTAAATACTTCAGGCTGTGAGGGCCACAGATAATCTCTTGTCTCATATTCTTCTTTCTTGTTTTATACAACCCTTTAAAAATGTGGGCTGCCTGGTTAGCTCAGTTGGTTAAAGTGCGGTGCTGATAACATCAAGGTTAAGGGTTCGGATCCCCATACTGGCCAGCTGTCAAAAAAAAAAAAAGAAAGAAAAAAGTAAAACAGCCCTGTGAGGGCACAGGTCATACGGACGCAGCAGTGGTTGGATGGAGCTGCAGGCAGGCTTGGTCGAGCTGGCCCCAGCCTCTCCTGCATTCTCACAGACCCTGTGTCATTACCATCCTAACTGTGCCTCTTCCATATGGATCCTCAGGAGTTCTATTAATGAATACTCGTGTTGCTTTGTGCACGTTGTTTTTCAGCCTTTTATCGTGAAGCTTACCACACATGCAGAGGAGTGCACCACATATCGCACAGCCCAGTCTGTCAGAAGTGGAGCCTCCTTGAGCTGCTCCCGGTCACTACCTTCCGTCACCTCCTCAGGGTCACTGTCCTGACTTAGAGCTGCATAGTTTAGTTTGTTATTTTGAAGTTTTAAAAAGCTCTTTGAAATGTAATGGATTCACAAGAATTTGCAAAAATAGTTCAGAGAGTTCCTGTGTACACTTCCCCCGGTTTCCCCAGTGGTTTTGTCTCCACTATGGTTCAATATCAAAATTGGAATTGACATTGGTACAGTGTAGCTATATATGTCTTGATAGTTGTTAGAGCGAGTCCTCTCACTTTGAGTTTCTTCAAGATTTTTACTATTCTTTGCCTTTTGCATTATTTTAGAATGAGCAAATTTTATGAATTTGTCAGTTTCCACACTCTCCCTTGCCCCCAACCCCTTTTCCCCACCTCCAAAAAGAAAAAAACCTGCTGGAATTCGATTAGGTTTGCATTGGCTGTAGATGGGGGATTAGTCCACAGGAGAAAACCAGCCTGCCACCTGCTTTTGTAGATGAAATTTTACCAGAACATGTTATAATTCTCTGTGTAGCAGGCTTGCACATCTTTCATTGGATTGATTCTTAGGTGTTAGATATATTTGTGCTATTCTAAGTGGTATCCTTTTATTGAATTTTTATTGAGATAATTGTAGATTTACATGCAGTTGTATGAAATAAAATGAAGAAAACCCTTGTATACTTTGACCAATTCCCTCTAATGATGACATTTTGTAAAACACCAGTAGAACATCACAACCAGGATACTGACATTGATACAAGCCGCTGATCTTATTCAGATTCCACCAGTGTTGCTCGCACTCATTTATGTGTGTGTGCGTGTGTATATTAAGTTCTATGCAACTTATCAGTGTGTAAGTTTGTGTATCCACCATCACAGCCAGATACTGCACCGTTCTAAAGCCACAAGGATCCTTGGTTTTGCCGTTTTGTAATGACACCTGCCTTCTTCCCGCCCCTACCTCCCACCCATCCCTTATCTCTGGCAGCCACAACTCTGTTCTCGATTTCTAAAATTTTTGTCATTTCAAAATGTTATTCAAGTCAAATCATATAGTATGTAGCCTTTGCGAATTAGCTTTTTTGCTCAGCATAATTTCCTATAGATTCACCTAATAGTTTATCAATAGTTTATTCCTTTTTATTGCCGTATCAATAGTTCATTCCTTTTTATTGCTGAGTAGTATTCCATGTTGTGTATGTAGCACAGTTTATTTAGCCATTCACATGTTGAAGGATATCTAGGCTGATTCCAGTTTTTGGTGATTATCAATAAAACTACTATTCTAATAATTTACCTTTGTATTCTTTTGTTTTATCTATGGACAGGATCATGTCAACTGTGTTTAATGACAACTTAATTTTGTTCTTTACAATTTGTATACTTTTATCTCTTTTTCTTGCCTTATTGCATTGGCTGGAACCTTTAGTACAATGTTGAGTAGAAGTGTTGATAGTGGGCTTCCTTGTTTTACTTATTACCTCAGAGGAAAGCTCTCAACATTTTACAATTAAGTATGATGTTTGTTGTAGGATTTTTACAGTTTTTTAAAAATTAAACTTAAAGGAGTTTTTCTAGTTTTTAAAAAATTTATAACATAAATCATTGAAATGTATCAGGTGCTTTTACTCTGTTGACTTTGATCATATCATTATTCTACTCTCTTAATAGGTAAATTATACTGATTTGTCTTCTAATATTAAACCAACCTTACATTCCTGAAACACACTCAACTTGATTGTGATGTTAAGCTTCTTTTACATTGCTGGATTTTTGTTATCCATGGTAATCAGTGAGATTGGCCCTTAATTTCCTTTCCTTACAATGCCCTTATCAGGTTTAGAATCAAGGTGTTGTCTTCATACAATGATATGGGACATATTCTCTTATTTTGTGTTCCTTGGAAGAGTCTGTGTAAGATTGAGGTTATTTTTCTTTAAATGCTTCTTAGGATTTGCTGCTAAACCTGTTAGAGCCTGGAGTTCTCTGTATGGGGAGGCTTTTAATTATGGATTTTGTTTCATTTAATGTTCTAGAACGATTCAGAATTTCTGGGGTTTTTTTGTCAGTTTAGAGAAGTGTATTTTTCAAGGAAATTTTTCGTTTTTCTAAACTTATGCAAATTGGTATAAAGTTGTTCATATTAATCTCTCGTAGTAGTTTTTATGTCTGTAGGATCTGTGGTGGTATCGCTCGTTTCATTTCTGATACTGCTATTGGTGCCACCTCTGTTTTGTTCTTAGGCTCTCTCTCGGTGTTCAGTCACCCTTTTCAGAGACACTCCCTCCTCCTCCTCCTTCCCTTGCCTGTTTTCCCCCACACCCTCCTCCCTCCTGAGTGTGGCTGAGGTCCCCCAGCTGGGTGGACCTTCTCCGTGTTCCTGGTGGAGGGCCGGCTCTACCCCAGCCCCCAGCCCAGCAGCTTGGACGCGGCAGGCCCTTCATCTGTGTCAGCTGAGCTGAATTTGCAGACATGTGGCTGACAGGGACTCAGCCCGAGCTTCTCTGCCTCCGTCTCCACTCTCACTGACAGTCTGCATTCTGAGCAGCCCACCATACCTGTGGTGGGTGCTGTATCCCCACCCGCCACAGCATCACGCTTAGCTGTCTACACCTTGTTGGCGCTGGTCACCAGCCGGTGTCACATGATGCCTCTTTCTTTTTTCTAAAACCTCGGTCTTATTCTCCTCTCAGCCACTCACAGGTTTCTGATGGGCATTCTGTGTGCTCTGTGCTCTTTGGGTTTGTGTTCCAGGCCTGAGGACTGTTGACAATGACCATTACCTCCCAGCTCAGCTTCCTCTACAGCGTTCATTTCTGCTGGAGAAACCTGTGCAGCAGCCTGCACAGTCCCCCTGGGGAGGCCTGGCCCCCGTGAGCACAGAGCCTCAGCTGTGCAGCAAACCTCCGTGTGCCCCAGGTCCTCACACACACCACTGCCTGTCCTAGGAGCAGTCTTTCTTACAGCTTTCTCTAGGTCTTTCCATCATTTTTGCTCAATATAATTAAAAGTTAACCTTTCTCATGCGAGTTCTTGGAGGGCGCATCTCACAGTTGTCAGGGGTCGGCCCTGCGTCTTATCGGGCATGTTTGGTTTCAGGTGATTATGTTCTTGAAGAAGAAGGACAAGTTCATCAACCTGGTGTTGAAGCATGTTGGCACCTCAGCCCTCATGGACCTGCTGCTGCGCCTGGTCAGCTGCGTGGAGCCAGCCGGGCTCCGGCAGGAAGTCCTGCTTGTGAGTCCCGGGAGCCCCTCCCATTCCCCCGAGGGAAGGGCATGTCTCCTGAGTATGCACCAGGGTGCCCTGCACCCCCAGCTCTCCACTGGACAATTGTTCTCCCTCTGGCATTGCCTAGGGTTCTCATCAAGGCTTATGGTGTCCCCCCCCCCCCCCCCCCCCGTTCCCCTTGTCCTGTCTCAGCCCTTTCAGAAGCAAAGAGCAGACAGGTTCCTGCTCCCCCAGCACTCTGCACACGTGGGCTTTCCTCACCTCCCTCCCTTTCTCACCCCGTGGCCTTAGAGTGGGAGCCCAGTGACCTCACTGTGAGCTGTAGGCCCAGCACGTTCCAGGGAGGAAAGCAGGAGCCAACCAGCGGCTCCACGCAAGGGACTGTTGTCTCTCCTGGAGCCTGTGAGCACAGAGCACTGTGCTGGTGCTAAGGGAAAGGAGTGGCCTGCAGCGCCTGAAGAGAAGAGGATTCCCTGCCCAGAGAAGCCCAGGAGATCAGTGCTGGGCGAATCTCTGTTCACGGTCGTCTGCAGGCTTTGCTTATAGTGCAGTTTTATATAAAAGAGAGTCAACTGTCAGGTCTTGGGCTTGCTTTCCAGCTCCTGGAGCCAGGCGTCCTGAGGGCGTAATTCTTTCTCATAGAGCAGCCCCCCACTGAGGGTAACAACAGTTAACATTCACACAGGGATGAAGTGTAAATATCAGCTCTTGTTATGAGCTCTTAGTGGGAAGCCTGTGTCACCAGGTGCCAATCAGCCTTTTACCTGGACTACTTTGTTCAGTTTGCAAAGCAGCCACGTGGGGACAGGACATCCTGTTTTCAGATAAGGCATCTGAGGCACAGGGCACTGAAGAGTGCTGGAGGAGCCCCGTGGGCCCAGGCCTGCCAGGGCCCCAACACTGTCACACTGGCCCCCATCACCCTCGCAACTCGAGAAGGGTCACACACTTTAGTTTTTGCAGCACTCCTGCGTTCTCAGCGAGCCGTTTTGCTCTTCATGGTCCTGGGGAGGCCCTGATACTGCAGGGAGCAGAGGTCCCTCTGGCTTCTGCATCCAGCTCATTTGCACCCTGGTCTTCAGACATGTGTCCTGAAGACAGAGCTTGCAGATGCACCACTACAGCAGGTGCACGTGGTCTCCTCATTCATACTCTTTTGGGCCACTCGCAGAACTCAGTCATTGCAAGTTGTGTTCCTTCTGGGTCTGGGTAGACAGACGTGTCAGGCAGAGTCTCTATCCCAGGAAGCCTGGGCATGTGGACCTCTGCAGCACCAGGGGACTTTCCTCTCGTGCAGTTAGACGTGACAGAGACGTTGACTGGTCTTTTTTCCCCTTTCAGTGGCTGAATGAAGAGAGGATCATCCAGAGACTGGTGGAGTTGATCCATCCAAGTCAGGACGAAGATGTGAGTGGGACGCTCCCAGAGCCACCTTTTTGCATGAAGCCCCCGTCTTGCTGCCCAGGGGGGTGGGGGAGGGAACTAGTTAGACATTTTCCCTCCTTTAATCAAGCACTGACTTCTAGGCTTTTTTTTTTTTTTTTTTTTTTTTTTTAAAAAAAAAAAAAAATTTTTTTAAATTTTTTTTTAAAAAAAAATTTTTTTTTTTTTTTAAAAAAAAAAAAAAATTTTTTTAAATTTTTTTTTAAAAAAAAATTTTTTTTTTTTTTTAAAAAAAAAAAAAAATTTTTTTAAATTTTTTTTTAAAAAAAAATTTTTTTTTTTTTTTAAAAAAAAAAAAAAATTTTTTTAAATTTTTTTTTAAAAAAAAATTTTTTTTTTTTTTTAAAAAAAAAAAAAAATTTTTTTAAATTTTTTTTTAAAAAAAAATTTTTTTTTTTTTTTAAAAAAAAAAAAAAATTTTTTTAAATTTTTTTTTAAAAAAAAATTTTTTTTTTTTTTTTTTTTTGCTAAAAAGTAACAACATATGTGTTCTAAAAACAATTCTAACAGAATTGTATTAGTTATCTATGGTTGAGGAGCAAATTACTCAAAACTTAGTTGCTTATAAAACAAGTATTTTTTTTTTTTCTCTTTTTTATAACCAGTGTTTCTATCTCTAGCAACATCAGTTTCTATGGGTCAGGGATCTGGATCTGGCTTAGTGGCTTCTCTGCTCAGGTCCTCTCACAAGACTGCAGTCATCTCGGGGCTCAACTGCGGGTGGGTCCACTTTTGTGGCCATGAGTGTGTGGCAGTGTCTAGTTCCTGGGGGCTGTTGGCCGAGGTTGCCCTCAGTCCTGCACTGTATGGGGCTCTGCACAGGGTGGCTCACGGTGTGCATGGTGTCCCTCAAGTGAGCAGGACAGGGTCAGTCTTCTGTAAATGCATCTCTGTAGCCCTCACTCAAGCTTGTTCCGCTCTTTAGATGTGAGTGGCTAGGTTCAGCCCACACTCAAGGACATGGGGTTTACAAGGCCGTGAATTCCAGGAGGGAGTCATTGGGGGCCTCCTAGAAGCCACCCATCATAAATCTAGAAGCATGTCAGGTGACCATGGGGCTTCCTCTCTCAGCCACCCCCTCCCTGCTCCCTACAGTAATAACTGTTGAGAGTTTGGGGTATACCCTGAAAGGCCTTTTTATGCATCTTAAATTCACACACACACACACACACACACTGTCCTCAGCAGTTTTGAAGACAGTGGTACCAACTTGTGTCTGAGGCTTTTGCTACTGCCTGGCCCCTCTACTTTGTTCCCCGTAAACCCACAGTGCTAGCCAGACAGTTGGGAGAGGACGTGTTGGTGTCTGTGGGAAGGGAGAGCCAACGTAGCTGCTTTTGTTTTTCCCTCAAGCCGTCCCGCGAGTATTTCCCTCTACCTCAGTCTCCCCATAGTATGGACACCAGTGCTGCAAGGACTCAGGGGCTGTTTCTCTCTCAGTCATCTTCATCTCCCCCCACGGAATACCCTCCACGTGGTCAGCAAGTACACGTGTAAACTAACGTGTACTGAACCAATGGGATCTAGACTTTCATGGGAGGGGTGAGGGGTGTTCATGTTTCCCTGGAAAGGTTGAGTCTCTGTTTTCTCTGTAGCAACTTCCCTAGGTTCATTAGCTCACAAGAGTCATCCTGGATCATCATAGCTACTTATTATCAGATTGATAGCACACTGTCGATAACACGGTCATATATTCAGTATATCTCTAAACTGGATCAAGATACAGAGCAGTATCTGCATAGCATATTTGACCATTATGAGCCCCATTTTGAATACCTAGGGATAGTTTAGTACAGCTAAAAAAAAAAAAAATTAACCAGATCTATGTTTTGACCATAGAAAAGGCAGACACAGGCTTCTTTGAAATAAACCTGTTGGTCTGGAACCTTTGTACAAAACCGGTTTAGAGAAAGTCTGACATCGGTCAGAGAAGCAAGCTGTGGCTCGCATGCGTCTTCCGCCTGGCAGGCTGTCCCTGCTGACGGTCCTCCTCGGTTTCCCTTGTCTTTTCAGAGGCAGTCGAATGCTTCTCAGGCACTCTGTGACATTGTCAGGCTGGGCAGAGACCAGGGCAGTCAGCTTCAGGAGGCTCTGGAGCCAGACCCCCTGCTCACAACGCTGGAGTCGTGAGTGCTGGGCACCATGGTGCTGGGGGTGTCCCCAAGCCCTGCTCGATGCTGCTGCCACCACTTCTGATTCAGATTCTGATGAGCTGGTTGGGAAATGCTCCCCTAGGTTCAGAGCCCAAGTTAACCTGATCGGCTTGTTTCTTAGGGAAGGAGTCTTCAAGGGATTCTCCTGACAGGTCCAGAGAGTTGAGGCCAGCAGGGGCAGGAGCCTTGTCAGAGCCCTTGGCACCTGGCCTTGAGCCTGAGCATGTTTAGGGTGTTGCTGGGGTCCCCCAAGGGGAGGAAGGGCCGTCCATGCATCTTTGTCTGTGTCTGCTCTGCCAGGCAGTGACCTCCGTGTGTGTCCGACAGGCAGGACTGTGTGGAGCAGCTTCTGAAGAACATGTTCAACGGAGACCAGACCGAGAGCTGCCTCGTCAGCGGGATGCAGGTGTTACTCACCTTGCTGGAGACAAGGCGGGCTGGGTGAGTCTTTCTCTCAAGGGAAAGCATTGTGGCGAGCTGACTCTGACACTGCAGAGACATGGCTGCCCAGATGAGCTGTCTGGGTTATGTCCTTTGTATTTTAAATTAGGTTTTGATTTTGCAAGTAATAACATGGATAGACTCCCCTTGTTGGAAAGGTCAACTTTAAGGTTGCAACCAAGTCCCCTGTGATAATGCACCCTCAGTCATGGTCCCACCCCAGCCTAAAGACAGCGACTGTCACCAGTTGGCAGGTGTTTATAGACACATGCAAAATAGGTGTGGTTGGCAGGTTTTCCCCGAGGACTGTCCTGACTGGTCCCTGAGTGTGCGCGTGTGTGTCTGCTGCAGGTTTCCACTGTGGCACATTGTTACTTGTTTACACAATTGTCTCCTGTGCCCAACTGTGTGCCCTGCAGAGCAGGGCATGTGTTGTGTCCCTTGTGTCTCCTGAGCCTGCGCAGATGAATGGTCCCTGTTGAGCGCTGAACTCAGTACTTCGTTTCAAGGCAGCTGTCCTCTCTTGTGTCACCAAATGTGGGGGCCCAAGCAGACACAGAAAACTGAGGTGTGGCCCCTCCTCTTTAATTGCTCCCAGTCTGGTACAGGACAGTAAGCATGATGCGATGCAGTGGGTAAATGCAGTGGACACACACTCAGTGCCACGTTGTGGGGTCCACAAGAACAGATCACCTGGGGGCTGGTGGTTGTGGCCTCATGGTCAAGAGTTTATCTGAGAGGTTCACGTAGTCAGAGACAATCCCTGGGGAAAGGTAGCAGGGGTCCTTGTGTGGGCACAGGCATGGATGTGGTATATGGGTGGGGAGGGGTGAGCTTGCTCAGAGGGACCCCCGTGCTGTGACCCCTAGGGAGGTCACCATACTGGCTGTCCTCAGGCACGGCTGTTGTAGGCCTGTCAAGGCAGAGATGGTGAGTGGGAAGAGACAGACAACAGCAGAAACCAGTTTGGGTGAAAGGTTGAGTTCACTAGGGGTACAGGTGCCTTCAAGGATGCCAGGTAGAAATTTCAGGAAGTGTCTGACCCTGTTGCTCTGGGGGCCAACGCGAGCCAATGAGCCTGTCCCAGGAGGACACCCTGTGAGCAGCAGCGGAGACAGCAGTGTGGGCGTTGTCCTCTGGTGCTCCCCTCGGGCTCCTCCCAGGTCCTTGAGCCCAATCCGTGGAGTCAGGTTCCCTGCAGCCTGGGCCACGCTGCTCCCGGGATGCTTCTGTCCGCTCTGTTCCATCACGTGCTGGGTTAATGGTCTCCCTCTCCCAAGGTGCCTGTAGTCCCTTATTTCCACACACGGGAGAAAACTTCATTTAGCCCTCCAGCACTGATAGCCTATGCTTTTTTAAAAAGAAAAAAAAAGAACAGGCAAATGATAAGAAATTGGCTTAATCTTGGTAGTGGGATTATTAGCAACCTCTCTCTGGCACTACCAAATACATATTTAGTTTATTACCTAAAAATAGAATTATGACATTGTGATCATTTTCTCCAGTTAGGCAACCAGAGTATTGATTTTTTTATCTTCGTAAACTCAGGAAGCCTGGGCCTCTTCTGAGGGCTGAGCCCAACACTTCAGTGATGGAGGGGACGGTGTAAAAGTTAGGAAAATAGAGATAAATCAGCTGTTTCTCTGCTTTTATATTCTTTTATGTATTTAAATTTTTTTCTATAATGACCATGTATTCATTTTATAATTAGAAAAAGTGTTAAAATAAATATCTCAGAGAAACTTGCTTGAAAAAGCCAAAGCAACAATGGCCAGTCCTGCCCCCTTTTTCTCAGCTGAGGATGGTGGACAACAGGGGATGTTTCCAAAGCAGGTGCAGGGAACGGCCCCACCAGGGCTGAGGGGCAGCGGGAAACCAGTCCGGCTTTCTCACCGGCTGTGCGCTCGTGGGGATCAGCTGGAAATGTTTTCCTGGAGGCCTCCGGCACCTTTCTCTTCTCTCTGGACTGGCCACCAAATCATGTGTGGAGGCCTTGTGTAGTCTCACTTTTGAGATTTCTTTTTGGGAAAATTAAAAAGAGCTCTTTTGGAGGAAGACAGTGAGTAGAAGCGCTGGCAGGGTGAGTGGGGTGTGGACCAGGCACTGGGTGTGCCACCCCGTCTCCATCTACTCTCCTCGTCCACAGGACAGAGGGTTTGGTGGACCCCTTCTCTCAGGGACTGGAAAGGCCGTGTGCTGTCAGCAGCAGCGTCCTGCACGGCATTGAGCCGTGGCTGAAGGACTTCCACCAGCTCCTGCTCAACCCGCCAAAGGTAAGTGGCCATGGACGGCTGTTGGGGGCCTTTGCAGACATTGTAGGATAGGATGGTTTGCAAGGAGGGGACCCTGCCGTTTATCCTGATGAGGCAGAGTGTGGGTGCATGGTCTCTGACCCCACCATTCCCAGACCCTCACTTGAGAACCGCCAGGTAGATGCCAAACAGGTGTTTCCAGGACCACCCCCAGATCTATGAATGTCTGTCTCTGCCTCTGAAGGGAGGACTGAGGGTTGGATGTTTTACAGTCTGCCCAGGCCTGGCCTCCACATCAGGGTCCCCCAGCCAAGGGACTCTCGGCTCCTGAGGGAGGTCACATTGAAGAGGGTGATGGGCAGCCAGGGCCGCCTCCCTGTTTGTCCTGTCTCACCTGTGAGCCCCTCCGCATTCCCAGCGATTCTCCTTGGCCCCCAGTCTGATCTACCTGCGACTTATTCATCAAATCGCTCATTGTCTGCCTCCCCCACTAGCAAGTGAGCTTCATGGAGACAGAGGTTCTGTTTTGTCAGCCTGAACATTCCGTTAATGAAAAGGGAAAGTGTTATGTGGACCATGAGGGGGTCAGAAAATACCCATGTCCAGCCTGATGAGGCAGCTTTCCCACATTAGTCCTGAGGCGTGTTCCAGAGAGCCCCATGCCTCTGACTGGTACCGGTGGCTCTCTCCAGGACACATCTCATATGTTGAGGGGCATGGCCCTTGGGCCTGGTGGACCCAGGCCAGAGTGCCCTGGGCTTCCTCAGAGTGGCCAACCACCCTCATCCACTCTGTGTGGGGCCCTAAGGGGAGCAGTGGGGTTCTTTACCTGCTGCCCCCTCATTTCCTCTTGTAGGCAGCCTTGCCTTGAGGAGCCCGCACATGCATGCCCCGCTCATGGAGCAGTGGCCATGCTGGTCACAAGGCTCCAAGTGGGTGGTGCCTCCTGTGTTTGCAGAAAAAAGCAATCCTGACCACCATCGGTGTGCTGGAGGAGCCCCTGGGGAACACCCGTCTGCATGGTGCTCGCCTCATGGCCGCGCTGCTGCACACAAACACGCCCAGCATCAACCAGGAGCTCTGCCGGCTCAACACCATGGACCTCCTGCTGGTGAGTAGGCTGCGCACCAGCCCTGCCGGTCTGTGCGTGTGTCCTACACGACCCGAGGCCAGACGTACGGATAGGCTGGGGCAGCAGAGCAGGGTCTAGCAGAGGTCTGCCCTGGTGAGCTTCTGGCCCCAGGTCCCAGGGTATGACCACGGGTCCCTGGTGGAACCCTCTGAGCAGCAGGCAGACGAGCCTAGGCTGTGCCTCACAGGAGGCAGTGAGTCTGCCGTAGAATTGCCCTGAAAGCCAAGGGTAGGGTTCTAATCCTGCTTGAGGAATGGGGTAATACATCCATCTCCTTTCTCATATTCTGACTTAATGTAGCTCTTAAATATAAAACGTCCTAAAAGAGAAGCTCTGCGTCTTCCACAATAGGTCACCCTAACAGGTCACCCTGCTAGTTCTTATCAAAGCCAGTGGGAAATGCTGCTCCACTCAGCTGATGCTGCCTGTGACCTGTGGGATGCTCTGGGTGTCTGAGAAGAGGGATGGGTGGGCAGTGACAGCCAAGCAGTGCTACTGCCTCTTATAAAAATAAGAAGAAGAGGGGCCAGCCCATGGCTCACTCGGGAGAGTGCGGTGCTGATAGCATCAGGGCCACGGGTTCGGATCCCATATAGGGATGGCTGGTTGCTCACTGGGTGAGCGTGGTGCTGACAACACCAAGTCAAGGGTTAAGATCCCCTTACCGGTCATCTTTTAAAAATAAAAAATAAAAATAAAAAATAAGAGGAAGAGTATGGGACAGAGGATTCTTTTGAAGAGAGAAAAAGTAAAGTAGATCTTTTTAAATTGCTGCTCGGCTGATCCAGACTGGGATTTCAATTACAGATGTGCCTAATAACTCAGGCAGCAGGGCCCGCTGCAGAGAGCATAGGGCTGCTCCCGTGAGAAGAGGGTGCCAATGGACAGGGCCTCGCCCTAAATGGGTGCTGTTGGCAGGCACAGCCCCTCTCCTCTGCCTTGCCTTTGGGCCTCTGCTCAGGGGAAACTGGGATCTCCCTGCATTTCAGTCTCAGATGAGCCAGCCTCGGAACTGGGACTGAAGAACTGTCTGCCTCAGAAGTTCTTCCAGCATTTAGAAGATATTAGGCACATCTGAGATTGAAATCCCAGTCTGGATCAAGGGAGCAGCAATTTAAAAAGATCTACTTTACCTTTTCTCTGTTCAAAAGAGTTCCCTGTCCCACACTCTTCCTCTTATTTTTATTGTGGTAAAGTAGCATAACATAAAATTTACCATTTGAACCATTTTTAAATTCAGTGGCAAGCATATTCACAATGTTGTATGACCATTACACAACCTATTCTCAGAACTTACTCGTTTCCCAGAGACTCTGTGCCAGTTAAACACTGACTCCCCACTGCCCTTGCCCCAGCCCCTGGCAACCACCACTCTACCTGTGTCCCTGAATCTGACTCTTCTAGGTACGTTGTGTAAGTGGAATCACAGAGTATTTATCTCTTTGTGACTGGCTTATTTTACTTAGCATAATCTCTTCAAGGTTCGTCCAGTGTTGTAGCATATGTCAAGATTTTCTTCCCTTTTAAGGCTGAGTAAGATGTCATCGTACGTATAGACCACGTTTTGTTTATCCAGTCATCCATCAGAGGGCCCTTGGGTGGCTTCCACCTTTTGGCTGCTGTGGATATTGCTGCCATGAACGAGGGTGCACAAGTCTCTGTTTGAGTCCCTGCTTTCAGTTCTTTTGGATATATACCTAACAGTGGGATTGTGGGATCATGTGGCAATTCTCTGCTTAACTTTTTAAGGAACCTCCGAACTGTTTCTGACAGTGGCTCTATTGTTTTAGATCTCAACAACAGGCTCCCGTCTCTCCACATCCTCACCAACACTTGTTGTTTTTCTTTTTTTTTTTTTTTAATAATTTTTCTAAGGGCCGGCCTGTGGCTCACTCGGTAGAGTGCGGTGCTGATAACACCAAGGCCGCGGGTTCGGATCCCACATAGGGATGGCCGGTTTGCTCACTGGCTGAGCGTGGTGCTGACACCACCAAGCCAAGGGGTGAGATCCCCTTACCGGTCATCTTTTTAAAAAAAAATAAAATAAAATAATTTTTCTAATGGGTGTGAAGAGGTATCTTACAGTGGTTTTGATTTGCATTTCCCTAAAGATTAAAGATGTTGAGTATTTTTTCATGTGCTCGTTAACCATTTGTATGTCGTCTTTGGAGAAATGTCTATCCAATTCCTCTGCCCATGTCTGAATTGTTTTTTTGTATGAGTTATAGGAGTTGTTTACATATTCTGGATATTAATCCTTTTTTTATCAGATACATGATTTGCAGATATATTCTCCTTTTCTATGGGTTATCTTTTTACTCTCTTTGACACTCAAAATTCTAATTTTGATGATACCCACCTTGTGTTTTTTTCTTTTGTTGCATGTGCTTTTGGTGTCATATCCAAGAAATCATTGCCAAATCCAATGTTATAAAGCATTTCCTCTGTGTTTTGTTCAAGGAGTTTTATAGTTTTAGCTCCTTTTTTTTTTTTTTTTGGTAGCTGGCCAGTAAGGGGATCTGAACCTGTGACGTTGGTGTGATCAGGCTGCACTCTAGCCAACTGAGCTAACCAGCCAACCCAGTTTTATTTCTCAAGTTTAGGTCTTTCATCCATTTTGAGTTAATTCTTGTATATGGTGTTAGGTAAGAGCCCAACTTCATTTTTCGCATGTGGATGTCCAGTTTTCCCAGCACCATTTGTTGAAGAGACTGTCCTTTCCCTGTTGAGTGATCTTGGCACCTTGTTGAAAATGATTTGATCATATACGTGTTAGTCTTCCAGCTTCATTCTTCTTTTTTTTCTCCCCAAGATTGTTTTGGCTATTCTGGGTCCCTTGAGATTCCATATGAATTTTAGAATGAGTATTTTTTCTATTTCTTTTTTCTTTTTTTAATTGAAACATAGTTGATTGTAGATATCTGTGGGATGCTGCATTGAGTATCAATACTTGTGTGCAATATATGATGCTCAAATCAGGATAATTAGTAGGGTTTTTCTATTTCTACAAAGAAAAAAAAAAGCTGTTGATATTTTGATAGAGATTGCATTGAATTTGTAGATCACTTTGGGTTGTATTGTCTTTTTAACAAGATTAAATCTTCCAATCCATGTGCAAGAGTGTCTTTCTAGCAGGTCTTCTTTAAATTCTTTCAGCAGTGCTTTGTAGTTTTCAGTGTACAAGTCTTTCACCTCCTTGGTTTAATTCATTTGTAAGTATTTTATTCTTTTGGATGCTATCATACATGAAATTGTTTTCTTTTTTTTTTTTAAAAAAAGATGACCAGTGGGCCGGCCCGGTGGCGCACTGGATAAGTGCGCCGCTTGGGAGGTGCGGCGGCGCTCCCGCCCGAGGGTTCGGATCCCACATACAGACCGGTTCCCGCTCACTGGCTGAGCGAGGCGCGGGAGCAACACCGAGGGTTGCAATCCCGTTGCCGGTCCCCGGTCCGGTGCGGGGGCAACACTGAGGGTTGCGATCCGTTGCTGGACACGGAAAAAGACAAAAAGACAAAAAAAAAAAAGATGACCAGTAAGCGGATCTTAACCCTTGACTTGGTGTTGTCAGCACCACGCTCAGCCAGTGAGCGAACCGGCCATCCCTATATGGGATCCGAACCCGGGGCCTTGGTGTTATCAGCACCGCACTCTCCCGAGTGAGCCATGGGCCGGCCCTGAAATTGTTTTCTTAATTTCCTTCCTGAATAGTTCATTGCTACTGTGTGGAAATGTGATTGATTTTTGTGTGTTGATTTTGTACCTACAACTTTGCTGTATTTGTTTATTAGCTCTAACAACTTATGTGGAATCTTTAGAATTTTCTACATATCAAGTAATTTGGGAACAGAGATAATTTTACTTCTTCCTTCTAATTTGGATCCCTTTTCTTTCTTTTCCTTTCCTAATTGCTCTGAGTAGAACTTCTAGTAGTACTATGTTAAGTAGAAGAAGTGAGAACAGACATCCTTGCCTTGTTTCTTATCTTAGAGGAAAAGTTTTCAGTCTTTCAACATTGAGTGTATGGTTAGCTGTGGACTTCTAGATATTTTTTCATGTTGAGAAAATTTCCTTCTATTCTTAGTTTATTGAGTGTTTTTTATCAAGAACGTATGTTGCATTTTGTCAAATGATTTTTCTGCATGAATTGAGATGGTCATTTTTTGTTTTTTTTTTCTTCATTCTGTTAATATATTACCTTGATCGATTTCCATATGTTGAACCATCCTTGCATTCCAAGAATAAATCCCACTTTGCCATGGTGTATAAATCTTTTAATACGATGCTGAATTTGGTTTGCTAGTGTTTTGTATTGATATTACATAAGGAATATTGGTCTATAGTTTTCTTTTCTTGTAGTGTCCTTGTCTGGCTTTGGTATGAGGGTAATGCTGGCCTCATAGAATGAATTAGGAAGAGTTCTCTCCTCTTTAATTTTTGAAAGAGTTTAAGAAGGGTTAGTGTTAATTCTTCTTTAAATGTTTTGTAGAATTCACCAGTGAAGCCCTCTGATCTGGGCTTTTCTTTGTTGAGAGATGGGGTCTAACTCCCTATTGCAGATGAGATAACACAGTGAAGCCACCTCCAAGGTTGCTCAGTCACAGGCAGAGAAGGTGAAGCCAAGATTTGGGATTGTGTTTCTGTGCAGGAGAAGTACAAGTAGACAGGCTTTCTGCCATTCTTTAGCTTTCAATTCCCTGGTGTGTAGGATGGACCCAAACTCATCTTCCCGTGTGGAGTCTACACCCATCACTCCGCACACCCCTGTCCTTCTCCATGTGGGCCGAGGGGGTCTGGACGCAGGCTGCTGAGGCCCCTGGAGTGTGTAAGGTGGTGGTAGGGGTGAGGAGAGGTGTGCCCATGCTCCTCTCCCTGCCAGCTTAGGGGTCAGGGATCGAGGGCAGGTTTCTGTGCTTTTCCTTTCCCTCCCTGTCCTGGTCTGGAAGAGGCTGTGTGGGAAACAGGGGACAACAGCCATCCTCATTCAGCCACCTCTGTCCCCAAGGGAGCCCCAAGACTGCCAGAACTTCCTCTGGGCTTCAGCCTGTGCTGAGGCTTTGACCCCCTCAGGGATTATGGAATATGCACCTCCTGGTCTCCCATCTGTACGGTGGAAGATTCCCTGTTCTGCTCATCCTGGATGGAATCCCCATGTGTCTGAGAGTTTAACCACTTCCAGTAACTCATAGGTCAAAGACAAAATCATAACGGAAATTTTCAAATACCTAGAACTGAAGAATAATAAAAATGCTGCTTAGCAAAATGTGTAGAATGTAATTAATGTGAATTTTCCAGGGAAACGTATAGCCTTTTAAAGACTTAACACTGGAAAAGAAGAAAAGCTAAAAATTAATGAGTTGAGCTTCTAACTTAGGGACAAAAGCATAAACCCACAGAAAGTGGGAAGGCCATCATTCAAGCAAGAGCAGAGATTAATGAGACAGAAAGAAAGCAGCATGCAGGAGCTGGAAGGACGGGGCAGCTCTTTGAAGAGCCACCTGGCCACCTGGAGACTAGATGCTTGAGAAGTTGGAGACGGTGCCTGGGAATGATTCCCGTTCACCTTTGTGATTCAGCCATTAGGAGAAAACCAATCTGAGAACTTTCTTCTGTTCTCTGTTTACCCAGGACTTGTTTTTTAAGTACAGCTGGAACAACTTTCTGCACTTGCAAGTGGAACTGTGCATAGCCGCTATTCTCTCCCACACTGCCCGCGAGGAGCCGGGAGAAGCCCGTGGATCCCAGAGCAGGGCGGAGCCTCTGCCTGGGAACGAGAACAGGAACCTGGAGGCCCCCCAGCCTCCCGCCAGCCTCCCTGAGAACACAATGGTGACTCACGTAAGTGTAGGCCAGGGTCCCGCTGGTCCCTGCAGCCTCAGCCCACCTCAGCCCACTCACACTGTCATTGCTGGTGCACCAGGCCCTCCTGCGTCGTCTCCTCCAGCCCTCATGTGCGGTGGGTGGGGCTGCTCTCCTTTTACCCACAGGGACACTCAGTCATGAAGAAATGTCGGGTTTGCAGGGGTCCCAGAGCTAGTGTCAGGGAAGCGAGAGGGAAGGCGGCGTTAGTGTCAGGTCAGTCCTGCCCCCCAGGAGGCACACGGCCTCCCAAGTCCTGCTGCTGCTCTGCTGCAAGCAGCCCTGTCATGGGAGAGGGAGCCTTGTGTGCCACAGGTCAGTCCATGGTCGTAACCAGACCACAAAGGAAAATGCAAGGGGAAGAGAGACGGCGTCAGAGTCTCACGAGAAAACATTCTAGGGTTTTTGACCAACCTTTCAAAAACTAGATGCATTAACCCTCTCTATGACACTCTTCTCTCCTCCTCCCATGATGCTGTCCCCCAGGTGCTGTCCCCCCAGGTCCTGTCTCCCCAGGTGCTGTCCCCCCAGGTGCTGTCCCCCCAGGTGCTATCCCTCCAGGTGCTATCTCCCACAGGTCCTGTCCCCCCTCCATCTTGTCTCCCCCAGGTCTTGTCCCCCCCCAGGTCTTGTCCCCACCAGGTGTTGTCCTCCCCCATGCTGTCCCCACCCCCACAGTCACACAGTTGTGTGCTCAGACTGTCTCCTCCCCAGGCTGTGTCTGGTTCTCTTTCTGCTCCACATCTAGTGCTGTGCCTAGCAAAGGGCAGGCCTCAGTCAGTGTTTGCAGGAAGGAAGGAAGCAACTTGGTACCACGAGCAGGGCTCAGACCCCACCTGTGGCTGCTCTCCTGGGAGGGCCGGGGGTGGTGGGAGGACGGGCTGGACCAGACTTCACAGCTGACAGGAGGGCAGAGACTTGGGAAGGAGTCCCCAGGTCTCTGGTCAGAGGCCTCATGGACAGTGGGGCTTGAGTGGTCTTGAAGGCCTCTTTCCTGCCTGCCCTTGACAGGTGTCCGGGGCACTTTCTGTGTGCCAGTGTGGCAGGGATAATCCTGCACAGGTAGGGTCCAGTCTAGCTACAACTGAAGGCCCAGTGAGCAAACAGCCAGGGCCGGTGGTTCCAGTGATGAGAGCCACATGGGGGAAGGGGGATATTCAGGGGCCGTGCAGGTCAGTAAGGGACCCTCACCCAGAGAGAGAGGCCATGGGTGTCCCAGGTAGAGGAGATGCCCTGTGTCAGGGCCTGGAGGCGAGAAAGCACTGAGGGCCCTTCTGGGGGAGGAGGTGGGAGAGTGGCCAGAGGCGGAAGCCCAGGGGCAGGGGCAGGGGCAGGGGTGTTCCAGGAGGCTGGAAGGGAATGGAGAGTGTCCTTTTATCCCACTGGTCCTCATTTTCAGGGTACTTGACAGCAGGGCCTTTGAAGCCCTGGGTAGCGCCTGCCTCCAGTGTTGTGTGGGAACCACAGGGGCCAGGGCTGTACCAGTCACGTCCCACAGGGCCCTGGTGCAGATGTGCTGGCCCACTGCCCACAGGGTCCACGCAGACAGGTGGCTGCTGTGGCCCTGCCCAGCCCAGGGTGAGTGGAGGTGTGCGTACGGCCCTGCAGACTCTGATTCATGCCGCCTGCCCCCTCCCCACAGCTGTTCCAGAAGTGCTGCCTGGTACAGAGGATCCTGGAGGCCTGGGAAGCCAATGACCACACACAGTAAGAGCTGCATGGGCCCGGTGAGGTTGTACCCTGGGGATCTGGGCCTGGCCAGTTGGGGATGTGGAGCTGCACTTCACCAGGGCATGGGCGACACCATGCCCCGGCCTCCCAGCTTGGTGTGGGTCGTCTGGGGTGTGTGGTATGGCCCCCTGCCTGGGCAAACAGCTGTAAATGCTGCCTGGGAAGGACACAGGAGATGACGAGGGGCAGGTGAGTGGCAGCCGGGCCTGGGCTGTGTCCGGGCACAGCCCCTCCCCCAGGAGTCCACCCAGCCTGTCTGGCCCAGGCTTTGCCCACTGTGGGTCCCATGTCTATTCTTGATCTTCCACAAGAACTTGACACCCCTGTCAGCCCTGTACACAGGGATGTGGTTTTACTTTAGTATTCTGTGTCTTCTGCTTACCTGGTGTCCCCTGGGTCAGGAATGTCCTGCTTATTGTCCTGTGCCCTGGGCCTAGGGCCGTCCCCCAGCATTCGCTGTCCTGCCGAGAGCAGTCGGGCCCCAGGCGGTGCAGGGAGGGACTGTTGGGAGCCAGGAGGGGTCTGAGTGCAGTGGTGGGCTCGGAACCCCAGACCTGCTTGTAGAACATGCTGTGGAGAACCACGCGCAGCCCCGCGTCCCACAGAGCCTTGTGCTGAGTGCAAGCCTCGTGGCTGACAGTCCTGAGCTCAGCACCCACTCCACTACCACCACTGGTGGGACTTGGGCCAGCACCATGGCCTGTGTTTTCTTGTTTGTAAAATGGTGGTACGAGCAGTGTCTGTCTCATCAGCTCCTCTTGGTAGTGAAATTGCAATGAACCTACTGCGCATGGTGGGTGCTTTCCAAACACGCATTCTGGAGGCGAGGTTGACAGTTCAGACACTGAGCAGGGCCAGGCTGCTGTGCTGGGGGTTGGCCTGTGTCACTCGGCTCTGCCAGCAATGGGTCAGGATGGGCTGAGGCCAGGTGGCTGCCCTGATGGTGCCTGTCACTTTCAGGGCAGCGGGTGGCATGAGGCGTGGGAACATGGGCCACCTCACGCGGATTGCCAACGCCGTGGTGCAGAACCTAGAGCGGGGCCCTGTGCAGACCCACATCAGCGAGGTCATTCGAGGTGAGCCCCCATCCCCCTCACCCCCTGCTGGTCACCACGTCCGAGTCACTGCTGCCCGAGGTTGCCCTTTCCTGGTGCTGGGATGGACCATGCGCTGCCTTCGTGTTCACACCTTTCCATGTCCCATCTGTTCTCAGGGTGCTGGGTCCCGCATGTCGGTTCTGTGGGGCAGACACCCGGGGAGACCCTGTTGGGAGTCAAAGCACAAGGTGCAGGAGGCCCAGCCCCTGCCGAGCAGTGTGTGGCTCTGGCACTGGCAGATGGAGAAGGAGGTTGGGTCCCTTTCTCACAGACTGCCTGTGGTTTCTGTATTTCTGGGAGTTCCTCAGGGGGCACACCCACCAACAAACTCAGAACTCTGGTGCCACTGAAGTCCCTGTAGGGACAGGAGGTGCCACCACCTGCTCAGGCTGCTGTGCCCGTCTGTGCCAGGTCCCTGAGGGCTCACAGACAGTGCTTCCTTTGCAGGGCTCCCTGCAGATTGCCGTGGGCGCTGGGAGAGCTTCGTGGAGGAGACCCTGACAGAAACCAACCGCAAGAACACCGTGGACCTGGTGAGGAGGCCAGGCTGCTCCATGTGCAGCCGCAGTGCAGGACGGCGACAGATGCTCGACACTGGCCCCATGGCACAGGCCGAGGGAGGCAGGAGGGCAGCACTGTGGCTGGGCCACGCACCTTGCCTGCTCCTCTTGTGCGCACCTGCCGTGTGCCCCATGAGCATGTGGCCCGCCTCTGACCGGTGTCCATAACACAACCTGCCCTGTGCCAGGCTCCCTGAGGACCCCTGTGCAGAGCTGGCATTGGCCCCTTCTGTCCCACATCAGGAGCTGTGGCTTGTGGTGGAGAGCCCGATGCCTGTGACCCACAATGCGCCCTCTGCTCCAGGGAGGCTGGTCCATCACGGGCTCTCAGCCTCACCAGGCACCTCCTTCCAGCCCAGCCTCCCAGGCCCAGAGCCCTGACAAGGGCTGGGCTGGGTGGGTCTGGGATGCTGGGCCGGGCTGGGCGGGTCTGGGGCACTGGGTAGGCTCACGCTCCCGCCCCATCTGGCCTATTTTAGGTGAGCACTCACCACGTTCACTCCTCGAGTGAGGACGAGGACATTGAGGGGGCTTTCCCTAGCGAGCTGTCCCTGCAGCAGGTGAGGGTGTGGCCGGCACTCTGCACACTGCTGGGCCATTCCTGGCGCCTCAGCATGTTACAGACGTGTCCCTGGTGGCATCTCACTAGTGAAGGGGAGAGGTGGCTCATCCCCAAGCACGTGTGGGGGAGAGGGGGTCTGGGGGAAGACCCCCAAAGGCACTCACTTCACCTTGAAGAGACTGATGGGGACGCAGTGGATGAACTTGAAAGTTAAAGTAAAAGGCATCGTTTGGATGAGGCCATGGGAAACTGCAGCCTGAGTTTCAGTAGAATCTCGGGCCCTGAGCAGTCAGGGCACAGGGCCCACTGTTGCCGGAGAAGCTCGTGAACAACCAGAGAGATTCTGGTTTCCGAAGAGCCGTTTCCAGGCCTGAGGCTGCTCCTGACAGGCGCCTGTCCCTCTCAGGCTTTCTCCGAGTACCAGATCCAGCAGATGACGGCCAACTTTGTGGATCAGTTTGGCTTCAATGATGAGGAGTTTGCAGATCAGGATGACAACATCAAGTAAGTCCCCTGACATGCTGGGAGCCCCCCAGGCTGCCGGAGAGGCAGGGTCCCCCCTCCCACTCGGGTCCCCAGGGGCAGCTCCCTGTGGTCTTGCTGGGAGTGTGGCCCAGTGTCCCCCAAGGATAGCAAGTGTCACCTAGCCACGTGAAGGCACTGACATGGTTGGAGGTGCTGGCAGAGGAGGTGCTGAGGATGCTCTCCCCGGCTCTTGCAGTGCCCCATTTGACAGGATTGCAGAGATTAACTTCAACATCAGTGCTGACGAGGACAGTGTGAGTGGGCAGGGGCTTCTGCTGGGCCACATGGGCGTTTCGGTGGTGGGGCACGTACCTTGTCATCTGCCGAGAGTCGGGGGCCCTGAGCCAGCGGGTGTGCGTGGCAGGTCTGGGAGGCCTCCGTGGGAGCTTGGAACAGAGCTGCTTTCCTTGCCCGCCCTCCCTGCCCTCGAGCCAGGCGGGGATCCCACATCCTGTGAGCCGAATCACTCTGTGTGTGGGGCCAGGTCCTCCCGTCTCTCCCAGACCCTCAGAGAGCAGCCTCAGTGCTCTGTGTCCCACAGCCCAGCGCCGCTCTGTTCGAGGCCTGCTGCAGCGACCGCATCCAACCCTTTGATGATGAGGAGGAGGAGGACATCTGGGAGGACAAGGAGATGCGTTGTGCTGCCCGGGCGCCAGCCAGAGCCAGGTCTGGGAGCATGCATGCCGGTGCCCGGCCCTCTGCGGCCTCACAGTGGCCCTTGCAGGGCAGGCAACTGTCCCCTTCACTCTGGGGACTGTCCTGAGGAGGCCGGAGCCAAGCGAAGCTCCTCAGTCAGGACGCTCCCTCCTCGCCCCCAGCCCTGGGCCATCGCCACCCTCCAGGCATCTGACTGTGCATCTCCCCAGGTTTGGAGCCCCCCACACCTCAGATTGCTGCTCATGGAGTGGCCCGCAGCACAGAGTCCAGGACAGGAAAGTGGACTCGGGAGCAGACGGGGATGCACCTGGGCTGGACACCCCCCCAGCCCCTGTGCAGAACGAAGGCCCCCCCATGGAGGCTGATTCAGAAGGTAGCGCTGGGGGCCGGGCAGGGGACTCGGGTGTTGGGGACAGGATGGGGGCTTCACTGGAGCCGAGGAACCTCCGGCTGCCTGTGGTCTGGAGCCCACGTCCCTTCTGCAGGTGCCTCCACGCAGATGTTCCTGGAGGTGGGGGCTGTCCCTGCTGTTCCCCAGCTGTCCTGGCCGGTGGGTCCCAGCACAGGGTGGCTTCCCGCCCTGGTGCCCTTCTTTTGTGGGCGCTCTCTGACAGGGGAGAGGCACCCCATGCTACCTGGGTCTCAGCAGGAGCAGGGCCGCCCACCCCCAGGCTTTGCTCTTCTCACCTCTGCCCCGGGAGTGGCACTGAGGCACTCAGGACCTGAGTGAGGGGCCAGGGCTCTCTGTTGGGAGGTGCTAGGCCCTCAGCTGAGGCCGATGAGAGGAGTGTCTGTGAGGCCAAGGGCAGGCCCTGGGGGAGCCGGAGCATCCTGAGCAGGAGGCGGCAGCTGCACTCAAGGCCGGGAAGAGCTGCAGGGCCTGGCCAGCCACCCTGCCTGGGTCAGACTCGGTCCTGGGTCAGTACAGATGAGATGGAGCGTGGAGGGTGGCCCTGTCACCTCCACACCGTAGGCCCTGCTGGAGCCCCCTGGGCGTCCCACTGGTGCCTGACTGAACGCCACGTCAGCACGCCTATGGTGACTCCTGCGCACACCCCATGGGTGTTGGTGGTTTATCAGGACCCACAGGCCCTGCCTAGCTTTCAGTGTTTGGGGGCCTTGCAGCCACACTGCCCTCTTGCAGAAACTGTCCTGAGGGACTGGTGGGCACTGGCTGGAGCTCTGCCTGCTAAGACACTTGGGCAGTCAGAGCACAGCTGCAGCCTCTTCCAGGGCACAGCCGTGCTCCTGACGAGCTCTGTGTGCCCCCGGGGTGGGGGCACTGCCTCCTGTTTGCTTGCGACACCCCAGGCCAGCCCACACTTGCCGCTCAATCTCTCAGCTGCAGGCGCTGCATGGACGGCAGTGTTTGATGAGCCAGTGAACTCGACGCCTGTGGCCCCAGGAGTGGCGAGGGATGTGGGTTCCAGCGTGTGGGCGGCCAGCGCCTCAGCTCCAGAGGAGAAAGGCTGGGCCAAGTTCACCGACTTCCAGCCGTTTTGCTGGTAACGCATCACAAAAGGGGGCCATGCCACAAAGTGCCTGTCAGGGTCAGGAGGTGACCATCCCCTGAGGGCTCTTCCTGTCCTCGTCCTTGTTTGCAGCTCCGAGTCGGGGCCCAGGTGTAGCTCTCCTGTGAACACAGACCGCAGCCATGCTGAGGGCAGCCCGAGCCTGGGCTCAGAGAAAGCCTGTGAGTAGGAGCAATGTAGGCTGCACCGCGTACTCCTGCAGGTGCCTGGCCTTGCCCAGTTCCCAGCCCCCTCCTGGAGGCAGCGGCAGGAGGTGGCTTAGGCCCCAGGCATGCCTGAGTCTCAGTGGTGACGTTGGAGTTCATATACACCTGTGGGACTGGGGCGGCCATGTGCAGATGGGGAGACTCCCAGCCCTGGGGGCATGGGAGGGGCAACACAGCCACCAGGCTACCCCTGGAGCCAGGTCTGACCCAGCTGCATTGACCAGGCTGTACCCTGGGTCCCCAGCATCAGCACCGGGGTCCCAGCATGGAGAAGTGGTGGATGGACTGTCAGCAGGAGGCTGACCTGGGGCCTGATCAAATCCCCTGGCCCCCACCTGCCCAGTCAGAGGCTCAGAAGCCCCTAGGACCAGGCCTGAGAGCTCCAAGCAAAGGGACAGCCAGTGCCTGACTCTTTGTCCCAGGTGCCAGGGTCCCTTGGCATGAAGGAGCTTGTGGCCAGGCCACACAGTCTGAGCAGGGCCTCCATGGGCCTCTGCTTTGTCTGGGAACAGCGCACAGGGATGGTCCACATGGAGGACACGCAGCAGGAGTGGGAAATCCTCCTGCCCCTTCACGTGGCCCCTGTGCACAACCAGACACCCATGTGCAGGGACATGGCAGGCTGCATGTGAGCACGTTTCTGTTTCTTGTGTGCTGCACACTGGCCCCCATGGGTCTGGGGCCCCGCGGCTGTGGCGCCATGTTCAGCAGCCCCTGCCCTCCCTGGACAGCCCAGACCTCCTTGTTTTGCAGTCAGCCTGGCCTCCCCGTGTGCTTGGAATGTGTATGTTACCAGGAAGGCTCCTCTGGTGGCCTCTGACAGCAGCTCCTCCAGGGGCTCTGACAGCGAGGATGAGATGCGGAAGGCAGCTGTTGCCATGGAAGCCGTGAGCATGGGCCCCAGCCAGGAGACCCTTCTGTCCATGATGCCTGCCGCAGCCAGGACAGAAGAAGCTGGCACTGACAGGTGTGCAAGGGATGGCAGGCCTGCCTGGTCCCCCTGAGTGCATACAGTGTGGCTTCCAGAAGGAGGGCCGCAGTTCTCTGGCCCCATAGCCACAGAGGTCGAGTTTGGTCCCCAGGTCTCAGCTCCCCTGGGAGCAGCCTGAGGCCAGGCCGGGCATCCCATACTGCTGCCCCGATGGCCCCACAGCCCTGCAGAGGCCAGAGCTAATGGGGGGTGACACCATTCATTTCAGTGAAGGCTGGGAGGGAGGGTCTGGGGTCATCTTTCTTGGACGCAGTGTTCATTTTCTCTGTTGCAAGTGGTTAAGATGAGAAGACAAGGCCTGAAGGTCCCAGACAGCCCCCCAGGGACTTGGGGGCACAGCTGCCCCACAGAGGCCTGATTGGAGAGAATGATGATCATCATGGTTCAGGCCTGGCAGGGATCTGGGGCTGCCTGATGTGGGGGCACCGCCTTAACTCACCGTCCAGCCGTGTGCATCTGTGGGGCTTGCCCAGATCTTGCCTGCTGCCCCTTGCTGCCTGTGCTGAATCCCAGATACACTCTCACCTCACCTCAGACGCCTGACACCAGTCGTGCTTGGACAGTAGGATGGGGTATCTCAGGACTGCACAGATGGACAGAAGCCGAGCCTCTTTCATATACAGAGGCTGAGATCCATTCCTGGGGAGGGAGTGGAGAGGGGAGATCTCCCTCCTGGCAGGGGCTGGGGACTGTCATAGGGAACTGGAAACAGCCACAGGAGGGTAAGTTGGCTGGGGTAGACCTAAGGGAGACAGTGGGGCTGGGGCTTAAAGGGGTGATGGGTATGCCCAGCAAGGTTCTGAGCTGTGCAAAGGTCCTAAGGCCAGAGCTCCTGGTGGGTTCAGGAACAGTGAGGAAGTCCCTTGGGCAGGACCCCACCAGGAGGGGATGAAGTGCCAGTCACACAAGGCCATATGTCCAGTTGAGGACTTTGCATCTTCTCTGAGTGAAACGGCACCTGTGAGCTCGAGTCCCTTGTCCCTCACCGCTCCTGGCTCCAGGGGGAAGGGCCTGGTGGGGGTGGGGAGCTGCCCCCAGCCTGACCACCAGCGTACATGGGCATCAGGCCCTAGGTCCCAGCCCTGCTCTCTCCCCCAGTCCCGATGTTGCAATACCATGTGGTATTGGGGCTTCGGGTGTGTCCCCCAGCCAGGCTGCAAATTTAACACCTGGCTGGGTCCATCCCGTTGACGCGGTGGGTCCGGCTTTGACTCTACCCTCCTCGTGGTCTGTGCATGCAGCTCGTTCCCTGGCTCAGCCGCAGCCAAGGCACTGAACCCCTGGGCCCACATTCCAGAGGCCCGACACAGCACGGCCTCTCAGAAGACCACCCGCCCGTGGGGGCTTGGCAGCAGGGAGGGGCACGGCCCGGGGGAAACGCCAAGGCCCGAGTAGTGACTGATGGGAGGGGCCCACATTCTCCCTGATGCTGACGCAGTGAAATGGCAACAGGAAAGCCTGGGCCAGAGCACCACAAGACTCCCGAGAGGGCTTAATTCCTTCTTAAAGTTTAGAATTGCTTAAGTTCTTAAAACCTTGACCTTTTCCTAAACACCACCTAAAAAACTGCTTAACTGTGCTCTAAAAAGCAGGTAGCAGTCTGCAGAAAACTGCCATTTCCCACAGGGCTGGCTGCATAAAACTTGTTGCTTAGAGTCCTCGCTGTACATGCAGCTGTCCCAGCGGCCTGGGGTGAGCGTGCACCCACCCCCACCGCCTGAGTGCCCTTCCTGGGTCAGACACCCAGTGTCCTCCCCACAGCCAGAGGGCCTGTCTGCTGCTAGGGACTAGGCTGGGCCTTGGGGTGCCTGACCACCCCCAAAGCAGGCCTCCCCGATGCCCAGCAGCACCCTTTCTCCCTCCCACCCTGTGGCTCCCCTGCCTCTGTGCCCAGTGTAAGGTTGGAGTTGAAATCACATAGTGGGCGCATCCTAGGCCCTTGGAGAACGAGGCACTTTACAATGAACAGGATCCAAGTGCTCCCTAGGACATTTAAGGTTAGGGTGACAGGCAACTTGTCCAGTGTTTGGAACTCAGGGTGGCAGAGCTGCCTGGCAGGGCACAGCTCCTGGGCCACCCCACGGAAGGCAGGAGCAGGAGGGGGCCAAGTGCAGTGCTCCCAGGCTACCTTCTGGACTGTTCCACCTGCTGGTCCTTGGGCACGTGAGGTGGGCGGCACTGCAGAGAAGGGGCCCCCATAACGAGCCACATCTGCCACACAGGGCCAAGTGTGCTGTCGGCATGCTGCCAGACCTCGCCTGCCCTGCGCCTGCAGAAGGGACTGTGGCTGCCATCACAGCACTGAGCAAGGCTGGCCCCCTGGTGGCCACCCCAGCACTTTCTTCTGCAGTGGCCACGGCAGTCCCTTCAGGGCCCATCATTGTTGTCACCACAGCAGCCCCAGCCATGACAGCCACCCTGGGGACACTGACAAAGGACAGGTGAGCAGGTTGGACAAGGAGTACAGGGTGGGGGCTAGACGAGGCCCCACAAGCATCAGTGGCTCCAACTGCACCTCTTGTTCCTGCAGGAAGACAGATGCCCAGCTAGGAGGAGCCACCTTAAACGGTCCCGTGTGATGCTGCTGCTGATGCCCTGCCACGGTCCACCATGGCCAGGCCAAACCTTAATCATGAGAACTACCTGGTGATGCAGTTTGTTTCTTTAATTTAATTTAATTTAAAAATAAAATGCTGCATTGGTAAAGCTGGCAGCTGGAACCAGTTGGACAGCCCAGCCTGCATCTCTCCTGCCCAAATGGGTCACCCGGGCCCTGCTGGAGGACAGAGGATGACCTCGGCGCCCAGGCCTCGAGCACAGCAATAAGGTCTCAGACATGCAACCTCTGCCTGCAGGAGCCAGGGGCCACACCCCCCAGATGTTACCAGGACCCAATGGGCCAAGAAGAGGGAGCGGTAGCTGAGGCTGTTTTTACCAATTTTTTTAGACAAATATAGGAAGAGGCAAGCATTTTGCACTTTGTATCCAGCTGCAGCGCAGGGTCTCCCCTGGCTCAGGGCAGAGGCAAGGGCTTGGGCTGGGGAGACCTGACCCCCACAAATGCATGTGGGTCAAAAGCTGACTTAGCCAGGTGCCCTACCTGCCCTATGGCCCTGGGAGCTGGCATAGAACCAGGCTGCACAATTTGACTGCCTTAAAAAGACAAAAGACGAGAGCCTCTAGGCCTGATGGGCTGTCCCCATACCCAGCAGTACAGGCCAGTGGGGGGACACAGTGGGGCTCAAAGACTGGCCTCCAGCAGTGCTAGACAGGGCTGTGTTGTCCTGAAAGGGTCTGAAAGATTATTTTACGTCGAGGCCATTTTTAACGTTCTGATCATCTGACAGGGCACCCCAAACTCCCAACTCCCAATAAAAGTATGACATTCTTACTGACAAACTGTGCATCGTTAAGCTGCAGACCCAGGAGCCCTGACCTGGCGGGGGGTGGGGTGGGTGGGAAATAGACCATGTCACTACAGGTGGGCCCAAGGGTGCTGTCCTCAGAGGACCCTGCCCCTTCCTTTTCTGTCTCCCCCCTTCTGCCCTCTTTCTGGAACCCCAGGCCCCACCTCATCCTCACTGGCTCGCGGGGAGGGGCGGGTGGAGACCAGCCCAGCCAGGACGGTCCCTCCTGAAGTGACTAGGCCAGAAGGTTCTCCTTCCTCCCCGGGGGGAGGGGACCCAACCAACGCCCCGCCCTGCTCCCCACCCAGGAAACGTTAAATTGGCAGGACAAGGTCCTTCCTCCCCTTATCCCAACCCATGGGTTGCCAGGGGGTGGGGAGGGGCAGTCTCATGGCCCTCCTAGGCCCCCCCACATCTTTCCGAGTGTCCTAGCACCAGCCATCAGGGCAGGAGGAGTTGGTCACAGGCACCACTGGGGCGCGAGGGGTCCAAGGCCTTTCTTGGCTGCAACCTCCCGCCAGATGAGAACCCTCATTTGGCCCCCACAGCCCAACCAGCTCCCAAGCCTGCCCCTGCCAGCCTCCGGCGGGTCCTCCCTATCCATGGGTCTCCATAGGCACTGGCCCCTCCTTCTGCCCTGTATTTTCTGTTACCTCAAAGACCCTCATTCCCCTGAGAGTCCACCCTCCTCCAGCCACTCCCTGTCCCCCTCCCAGGTTTGACCTTGGTCCCATCAACTCAGACAAGGGACCAGCCACCTCCATGACCCCTACCCTCCTCCTGCCTCATCTGTCCTCTGGACCCACAGCCTTTTGGCCTTTTGGGGGCTGGGCAAATGCCCAAGGTCTCACTCCTTCAACAAACATCCCCTGGAGCCTCCCTGACGCTGGCTTTTGCCCCAGGGCTGCTTGGGGAGGGATCAGGTGGCCATGCACCAAGCAAGGGTCTGGTGAAGCCCCCCTTTTGGAGCAAACCACTCCCAGAGCTATGGAAGCTCAGAGGTGGGGGACCCAGTCACTGATAAAGGCCCTTGAGAAAAATGCCAACCTTCTCCCCACATGGTGTTGCCAGGTATGGGACAGGAGACCCTTCGGACCACCAAGGTCACACAGGGCCCTGAGATGACAGCTGGGGACAAAGGCGACGCAGGCACACGGGCGCACTGTTAGTTCTCCTCTTTATATAGACTCTGGTTCTAGAAACAACTCACTTGCAGCCAGCCGGCTGGGGCCAGCACACTGACGGGGCTGGGTGGGGGTGGACTATTTACAGGCCCATCTTGGGGCTGTACCATGGCCACCGCCGGCACGGCGCTCAGCCATGACGCCACAATAAGTTAGAGCCGGCCGGGCGGGGCAAGGGGGCGGGGCGGGGCGGGGGCTGTACACGCAAGTGCTGGGGGCTCAGGGCCTCAATACTGTCGAGGGCCGGGGCTGTAAACATGGCCGGGGCGGCCCTGCCCACCCCTAGTGGTCTG